CTCGGTCAACACGCCTCGGGAGTCGGTTCGTGCCGAGGCACTCAAAAGTCCGATTAAGGATGCTCTAACGACTGATACTATGGTTACTTCTGTGGAAGACAACGACCACGATCCGATGGGTCCCTCAGTCCTCGAACATATGGAGATCAGTATGGTCCACGTCCTACCAGCTAAGTTCCAACCAAGTACCCATCAGTCAAATTTCTTGGATGGGGACATAGTTGCTGAAGAAGCAACACAAGTGGATTTCGTCACGAACGACGACGATGGGGAAGTCAGGAATAACTATGAGCAGCTTCATCGGCAACAAGTCTCAGACCAAAGAAGTGCTCCCGTTGGAAGTCAGCGTTACCGGTCGTCACCACATGACGTCATTATTTATAATTGAATCCAAGACCGACTATAATGCATTGCTCCGCCGCGATTGGATCCACCAAACCAGTTGCATTCCTTCATCACTATACCAAGTTCTCATCTTTTAGGACGGCAAATCGGTCGTAGTGCACCCAGCCGATAATCAGCCATTTGAAACCAACATGATAAAGGCTCGCTATTACGATGAGCACGTCGGCTATATCACCTTCCAGGGTTTTAATGAGGATGGACGGCCGACGAGAATTTCGGTACAGAAAGCTATTGAGGTAGGCGCTGAGACTGTCCAACAGGATTCGGCAAGACTCGACTTGGCAGATTTACTTACCGATGCCGATGATTGACGCCACCAAGCAAGAAATGCGTCAGGCCGCGGTTTCATCGACAATGGAATGTCTGCTGGCCCATTGGTACGCCATTGCCAAGCAACCACATTCCGGCATAAACTTAGTCGAATTTTTGATCGAAGCAGATAACAGCCCCGTTCTATCTTTTGACAAAGTTCAGGCCGCACCAGCCGAACTTGAAGACAATCGGGCCCAGGTTAAGGACCCATTGGAAGAAATCAATGTTGGCACAGCCGATGATCCTCGAACATTGTTTATCAGCGCGTTACTACCACCTTCTATGAAGGTCGAGCTTTGTACATTGCTTTTGGAGTTTAGAGATTGTTTCGCGTGGAACTATCATGAGATGCCAGGCCTCGGCCGAAACCTTGTAGAACATGAGCTACGCATCAAGGACGGGTGTAAGCCTTTTCGACAACCCCCACGCCGGCTCTCGACTGAAGTACAACTTGGCATCAAGGACGAATTAGTTCGGCTTCTCAAAGCCGGGTTTATTAGGACCGCTCAATACGTCAAATGGTTGGCCAATATCGTCCCGGTGTTAAAAGAAAAGTGGAGCCCTCTACATTTGCATCGATTTCCGTAATCTAAATCTGGCCACTCCCAAGAATGAATACACAATGCCAATCTCAGACTTGCTAATTGATGCTGCAGCTAATCATGAATTGCTATCTTTCATGGACGGCCATGCCGGTTACAACCAGATCTTTATCACTGAAGCCGACGTCCACAAGACGGCCTTCCGCTGCCCAGGGGCACTTGGTACCTACCCATGGGTGGTCATGCCATTCAGCCTCAAGAATGCCGGTGCCAAATACCAACGAGCCATGAATACAATATTCCACGACTTAATCGGTACAATCGTCGAAGTTTATATCGATGATGTGGTGGTAAAATCAAAGTGCCACCAAATGCACCTGGATGATCTGCGACAAGCGTTCCTTCGCATGCGCAAGAATAATCTCAAAATGAACCCGGCCAAGTGTGCCTTCGCTGTTTCGGCCGATAATTTCTTAGGGTTTTTGGTGCACCATCGCGGCATTAAAGTCGACGAAAATAAAGCCCGCGCAATCATTAACGCCCCACCCCCGACAACAAAGAAGCAGCTCCAGTCATTATTCGGGAAGATAAATTTTCTCCGCTGCTTCATCGCCAATTCGGCCGACAAGATGAAGGCATTTTCTACACTCCTCAAACTTAAGGATTCCGACAAGTTTGAATGGCACGAAGAGCATCAAACGACATTTACGCAAATCAAGGTGGCCCTTTCCACCACCCGTACTAATTCCAACTTGTCGCGACAAACCCCTTAAACTGTACATTTTGGCAGTCGCTGAATCCATTGGTTGTCTCGTCGCACAAGATAACAATGTGGGGCGTGAACAAGCTATCTTTTATCTCAGCCGTAATCTGAATTCGTCGGAGCTCAATTATTCACCCGTCGAAAAACTTTGCTTAGCTTTGTTTTTCGCTGCATCAAAACTTCGGCACTACATGCTCCCATCTGTTACGCAGGTCATTGCCCAAACAGATGTGATTCGTTACATGCTCACTCGACCTATCGTCAAAGGCCGAATTGGAAAATGGACACTTGCGTTATCCAAGTTCAGTCTACAGTACGTACCCTAAAAGGCCGTCAAAGGCCAAGCTCTCGTCGATTTCTTGGCCCAACACCCTTCTCCTTATGGTTTTAGGGATAGCGACGTCGACATCGGTTTAGTCACAACACGCGATAACCATTGGACTCTGCATTTTGATGGTTCCAGTACTTCGACTGCAGCTGGTGTTGGTATTGCCATTCAGTCACCCGACCACTACCGTTGGTATTTTTCTCTCAAGTTGGATTTCTGTTGTACAAATAATCAGGCTGAGTATGAAGCTCTCATCATCGGCCTCCACGTTTTACACGATTTACGAGCATCCCGCGTTCTCGTCCTCGGTGATTCCGAACTCGTGATTAACCAACTCAACGGCATGTTCCGTTGCTTGAGTTGTACTTTAGCGCCCTATCACATGGTCGTCACCTATCTGGCCGAGTTGTTTGAACGGATCACATTTGAGCATATTTCGCGTATTCACAATACGGACGCCGACGAACTCGCCCAAATTGCCTCCGAAGCACAACTCACGGAGGGCAAGCTAAGCCGGGTAACACCCACAAGTCTGCGATCGTACCCAGCCTTGGTCAATCAGCAAACTCTCCAGCGCAAGCACGTAATACGCACAAGGGTGATGTCGCTCCCATCCGTATTAGAACGGGGAGACCCCGTAGAAGTATGTGCCGTCGAAGTACAACCAGACGATTGGAGAAAGACGATGCTACGATACCTCGATAACCCTGATGGGAAACACGACCGGAGAACGAAGGTCCTCGCCACGAATTATGTGTCATACCAAAATGAATTATACTGCAGGGATGAGGACGGGTTACTACTATTGTGCCTCGGCCCACACGAGGCTGCCCAAGCGATGGCTGAGGTACATGAAAGAGTTTGTGGGGCTCACCAATCAGGACGAAAAATGTGATGGTTGCTTCGACGACATGGTTACTTTTGGCCCAGTATATTAAAAGATTGCATTGAATATGCACGGAGATGTATACCGTGCCAAATTCATGGACCCGTGCAGAGAGCCCCAGCCAAATTACTCCACTTGGTACTAAACCATGGCTGTTCAGGGGATTGGCAATGGACGTAATTGGCAAAATCACGCCATCGTCGGGGGGCGGCAAAACATGCATGGATAATAGTAGCAACTGACTATTTCACTAAGTGGGTCGAGGCAAGGTCATAGGCCAAACTAACAGCCAAAGAAGTATGCAATTTCGTAGAGGAAAATATTGTGACTAGATTCGGCGTGCCAGAAATGATCATAACCGACAGTGGCACCATATTCACGGTCGACAGGTTTAAGGAATACACGGCAAGTCTGAATATCCGACTTCAGCAATCTACGCCGTACTACCCACAGGCAAACGGGCAGGCTGAGGCAAGCAATAAAGTGTTGATCGACATTCTCGAAAAAACGGTAAGAGAGAGGCCTGGGCTGTGGCATTTAAAGTTAAATGAAGCATTATAGGCATACCGAACTTCACCCTGGTCGGCCACCGGAACGACTCCTTACGCGTTAACTTACGGACACGACGTTATGTTACCAGTCGAGTTGAGTATAAACTCATTACAAGTGATCGAGCAGAGTAGCTTGTTTAGTGCTGAATATAGTCAAGCTATGCGACAAGAATTAGAAGACTTGGAAGAAAATCGGATCGACGCAGGTAACTTATTAATAGCACAGAAGAAAATTGTCGAGCGAGCATATAACCAGCGCGTTAAACAAAAAACGTTCGGCGAAGGAGAATTATTTTGGCAAACGGTGTTGCCTGTTGGGATTAAGGACCCCAGGTTTGGCAAATGGTCGCCAAATTGGGAAGGGCCATTCATTGTTCACAAAGTTCTCGGCAGGGGGGCATATCATCTTAGAGATCAGACCGGTTTAATTCACAAATTGCCTATTAATGGAAAATTTTTGAAAAAGTACTATCCAGTCACGTGGGAAATGCAAGAATAAATACCATTGTATTAATTCGTAACAAAGGTGAACAGATACATTCGAGAGGCTCCTAAAAATAATTTACTAGGGGATCGAAGGGAAGAAAGTCTCGAGGGCAGCTTTCAACTCCAGCCACTTCACTTCGCTCAAAATTATCTCAGCCTGCCTCGTCTTCTTGTTGAGCTGCAGTTGCTGGATATGCCGCACGCCGGCAGCGAAAGCCGTAAGCCGAGCTCTATTCACCTCAAAGTCCATCTCAAGCTCTGAAGCAGCAGCGGACCTTTGCCGTTGAAGCTCAGCAATTTGACGCTGGAGGTCGGAGATCTGACGATCAAACTCAGTCAACTGCGCTTTCTTTGCTTTTATCACCTCCACCTCCACTCGGCCAGCCTCATGCGCGACCTTGGCCGCCTTTAAGTCGTCCTCGGCCCGTAGAGCTTGTTCAAAAATAGTGAAGTGATGCCGAGTCCGCTCCAGAAGGTCAGTAAGGTAGACGATATTCTCTGTGCTCAGGTAACCGCCGCTGGCAAGGTCGTTTAAGCACTCCCCAACGAAGTCAAGACCCTTGCATTGGAGGACTTGGGAGGCACAAAGGGATAGGAGCTCGTGCAGTTACAAAAGCTTGGGCCTCGGGCACAGTTCCACTGGTTCGGCAGGGGCAATAGAGGAGCCGGCCACACCAGTCATGCTCTGAAGAAGAGCGTCGAGCTCTACTTCCCACGAAGGCTGCACATAGAGGAAAATTTGTAAAGGAAAATAAGGCGTGAAATACATGTAGTGCATGACAAAGGGATTGTTTTTAGACCTACCGGGAGGAGACTTCAGCCATGCCCTCTGGGTCATTGCTCGAACCCAGGGAACTTAATGGCCGAGCCCAGTGCCTAAGACCGCTTCTCAATTCATGCGGCCGATGGAGGTTATCTACATTTGATGGGCACGACGGTGGCTAGGAAATATAGATAACGCCTGTCGGCACATAAAATTGTCGATGAAATGAACGTTCGGGCACCTGACATTTAATATTTCTTTAAGGACAAATGTGTCATGATAAAATCAACACAAAAGAAATAAAACTTACAAAGGCCGAGGAAACTTCTTGTGGAGGAATGGGGAGGTCTTCATCCTGCGGATGGAGCGGCGTTTCGGCCGTCGCCTCAGGATCAGTCAGGGGCCTCTTCCCACGATCCGCCGTAGGGGGATCCGGTTGGACGGCTGCCTCGACCACAAAAGGAGGATGGACGGGAGGAGAGTTGGCTGGTCGAGGGCGACACTCCAGCGGGATCTCGTCGCTCTCGTCGCTCTCATCGTCCTGAGGAAACTTTTGTTACAACTAGAAGGCTAAATAAACAAAGGATAGCGGTGGAATTATACCTCTTCCAGAATGACAGTCGGGTGCGGCCGTTTTCCCCAAGGCAGGCGCAATGGCCGACTCCGAAGCTGTAGCTGGTACGACGGCCGGATCGACCATAACCCTAGTCGTAGGGACGGCTGGAGGAAGAGGGTCCACCGAAGCCGGGGCAGCCGGGATAGAAGGAGAGCCGGCAGGTACAATTGTCCCTGTGGTGTCGCTAGGAACAACATGGATCTCCCGGTCACCTTTCTTCACCAACTTCTTGACGCGTTTGGAAGGGCGAGGAGCGTTATCCCCCGGCTCAGCGTCTTGGTGGGGGCGTTTGGCTGATAATGTCCGCCCGGTGATAATGGTCTTCTTCGTGGGGACCAATTTTTTCGTCCTCACCACCGCGGCGACCACCTCCGCCTTCCTCAACACACGACCACCTGAGATAGCGAAGTAATCAGTAACAGAGGCGAGTAGTTGAAGTACAAAGGACGAAAGGACAATGTACCTTGGGTTGGGCCGCAGGAGCTTGTCTGGGCTGGTCACCGAAGATTCTGCTTACCACGTCTCCGACCGAGACGCCGAAGAAGTCACGGGTGTACTCGTCCCACCAGTCCCCAAAGGTGTCGGTACCCAAAGATTCAGGAACGGTCGGTCGAAGCTAAAATTTTCTACACTTGTCCTAAAACTCTTGTTTCGTCATCTTACACTCCCTCTCGGAGGAACCAGAGAGGCGTCCTCGACTTAAGAGGGAGCGAGAAGCGAGCAGGGGTATGGGGCAACCTTAGAGGTAGCCGAGCTGCCGGGTGACGAAATGGGGATGATAAACCTCCCAGCTAGCTTGGCGGGCATCGCAACCAAGGGGGAGGTCGCGGGCCAGTACGAATGACCCCTAATGTTGACGAAGATCAGCATCTTCGATCTCGGCCCACGCTGCCGTCGGAAGCCTAGTCGAGGCGGGGTATTCTTGACACCGGCACACCAGGAACTCGTCGTTAGAGAGGACGTTGAGGCTGAAGAAGTGTTTAAGGACTTCGTCGGCTCGGTGAGGAGGTGCCGGTCGAGAGGCTAGTTGAGGGCCGAGTGCTGCAGTGCGCTGGAAAACGGGAACCTCGGGCCGAAGGGTGGAGAAGTAAACCTGCAGCCAGAGTTGGAATATCCAGAGGGGTCCGTTCTGATGCAGGTCAATTTTGTTGATGGTCATCTCGGCCAAACAACGAAAGAGATTGGCAACGATGGCCGGACTGAGCGCCAAGGAATGACCACTAGCCAGGGCCTGAGCCACCGGCATATTCTCGACCAAGCATTTGTTCGACCTAGTACAACAAATGAATTTGTTGTACCAGTAAAATAGGAAGGCTTCATGTTCTCCCTTCCTAAGGCTCTCCTCGCCTCGGCTGGCGAAGTGAAGGATAAGAGTGTTGTAGTTGAAGAAGTTCTTGTGTAGCTTCTGAATTTCTTCTTTCGAAGGCTCCCTATCGCCTCGACTGAGTGTCTCGACGGCCCATTCGTCGAATAGCGCTTTTAGGTCGAGAGGCGAGGGGCATTTGGAAAGGGCGGCATCAATTGGGAGACCAAACGGGGAAGTCCCAAGGATAGCCGAGATGTCAAGGACGGTGGGGCCTAAAGGGCCGAAAGGGAGGATCATGGTGTTGGTAGTCGAACACCATAAACTCAGGGCCGCCATGAGCAGTTATCTATCCATGGTAATCTCCATGGTCGAGAGCATGATGGCATCATAAATGCCGAAAGCTTTCCACTCTTTGCCGAAGAATGTGCTCATTCGGTCGACCCAGGCGGCCCAGGCTGCAGTAGTCGAGGGCCAAGCTCCTTAGGGCCGTGCCAAGCACCATTTCGAGCAATCGAACCCCTGCAGCAAGGGTGTTAAGGATTGTTCCTTGAGAAGGTTGGTGATGCACGACGGCACTACATCTTTGAATAATGGACCCAGAATTTGGGAGTGGTGGCTAGATCATTTTCGAAGCATAGCATTTTGATGGCGCTCCGGTCGATGAAATCCTTGCATTTATTGCACTCGTCGGAAAGTTTGGAGATGAAGGAGGCCATTGGTAAGGAATAGAGTAGGGCATAGGTTTAAAAATGGGGTTTCAAAGAGATGAACTTGAGGGCGTTGTTTGAGCAAGCAGGAATGGAAAAGGGAAGATTTCAAAATTTCTGAAAGCGTGGGATACGAATGGTAGAAATTTGGGTATTTATAGGCGTTTCAGAAAGAAGATCAAACGTTTGGTATTCGAAAGCACTAGTTGAATTGGGGGGAAATTTAACCGAGAAATGGCCCCAATCATTTCGGATATTTTGGGAACCTGCAAGGATAGGATCGGGATTTTCAAGGATCCATGACGCACGATTGCGTGCGGCGGCAGTTTTAATGCATTAATGAGGAAGAGACCCTGCGGTGGGTGCACGTTTTCGAGGGCCATGATTGAAAGTTGTTAGGATTGGCAGAGAGTCGACACGTGGCTGTACATCGAGAGTAACGAGGATAGTGCAATCATATCCCATAAATGTGCATAGTAATGGTTATCAAGAAAAGCGAAGTCTAAAAGGCAAAAGATGGTTCCGCTTCTTCAAGGTCGAAGCCCAACCAAAGGTTGACAGTCGGTGACCTCAGAAGCGAGGGGGCAATGTTTGGGCCCGAAATAATATTGTTGGGCCGAGCATAAGGTTGTGCTTGGCCCAAAGCTGTGTCAAATACTATGGGCTGCTTGATAGATTCTGGGCCAGTTAGCAGGGTCAGTCGAGTCCTATCCTAAGAAGGAGTAATCGAGATAAATAAAAAGGGTCGAGGAAGTCCTGGTGCAACCAGGATTCTGGGCTAGCGAGGAATAAAGCCTCGAAAGGGGGGAAAGTTCAAAGTCCTAATGGGAGTAGGGTTGTTCGAAGTAAAGTTGGAACGAGACAAGAACTCCCAATCTAGATAGGGGTTCGATTCGGTCTCAAGGAGTGGGTGCTATAAATACAAGAAATCATGAAACAAAAAGAGGACCTTCAATTCAACACACAACTGCCCTACGCAAAACCTCTCAAACATCTTGAGATCTTTTATTTTCTTTTTCCGCCAACACACCTTCAGTTTGGATAAACAGCACTGTGAAGGCAACCGGCGAACATCTTCAGTTTGGATAAATAGCACTATCGCCGTAGAATCAGCCGACCAAGGAGCATCTTCAGTTTGGATAAACAGCACTGCGTTGAGAACGACTGGTTACCTATCCAAGTCTCGACCGAGGAGGGTTTTTGAATCCTTATTGGCAGGGGTCATCTTATCAGCCTTCTCAGCGAAGTAAGGTGTCACGAGTTACGACATTCGACGTATCGGACGCCGAGTGATTTTATGATTGGGTATTCACAAGTGAGTTTTAGAGTTCGGCATTCTGACGGCCAAACCACGTTCACTGTCAAGACATACATCACCTTTGAATATTTGTGTCCTTATAGTCTGGTGTCGATTCGACGTGCTTATACTCTTACGAATATAATCACGATGAACGAATCAGGCACCAACGATTTGTGAACTTCGCAGAACTAGCAGCCTCGTCTTCAGACTCTAGAACCCAAAGACCGAGAGTGTTCCTTCCACAGTCACAAGATTAAGAAGTCAGCAACGCGCTCAACATGACAACAACGAATTTTACTCCTTGGCCGAGCTCGGCCGACGAGTTGGCACGCCTCGCATTCAACCGAAGGACTTAGTTAGCCGATTAGTTACTCGACCTGCACGCCACGTAGGCTTTGTAATTTACAGGATCAACAAATACATACAAACATATGTAACAGAGTGTGAGAGTCCCAGTCAAAGTTGATGAAAATCTCATCCAAAAACAAATGTGTTTCTATATTCTCCCCTACCATCATTCTTTTCCCTGTTTTCTCCATTAGTGAGGATTCACTAATACTTAAATGTTTGTCGATGCGGTAGCCACATGAACTTCTCTGACTACTGTTTTTCTTGCATAAATTGTACAGAAATCAAGTCACAATTTGCTAGTGTACTGTGATTTACAAGAGCACCAGTTAGATTGCAGTAACTGAAATTTTCGTCCCACTGCACCGACCAGCATTCCAAGACTAACCGAATACCCTCTACAGCATCCCACCTCTAACAGAATAAACAAGAAACTGGTTGTCCTTGATATATGAATTTGGAGGACACGAAATGCATGGATAAGATAAGAAGGTTCGAAGGATTTCATAATAGAATAAAACAAGTTATGCTGCAAGTTCTTCATGAATCAATGGGACTCTAAACTTTTGCATTGTCCTTTTTCAGATCGTGCACGTGATTCAGTATTCTGGATTAAAAGATACACAAATAAAAGAAACCAAGTACATTTCAGGAAGTGGTGATGTGCTTGTCCGTTCCAGCAGATAATGCAAGTTATGGGTCGATAAAGGTTGTGGATCTAATGAAGAAAATTATGTTCCAAGGGCATATGACCAATTCAAGATCCCAGTATGTACCACACAGAGACTAGTGTGAAGTATCTAGTAGAAAGGTAAACCTCAAACTAATAAATCCAACTGAGGAGCTTCACATGCAACGGTAGATCAAAGGTACCAAGAGTAGAATAGATAACAAGAGGAGCTTGTCAGGGTGGAAAGATGGAACTTGCAGTGTTATAATAGCGGATAATGTACGTAAATATGGGTTCCAGACTCCAGTTCATAAGACCCTCAAAACAAAACTCAAAAAAATATATTTCTTTATCTTCAAAACAACAAAGCCTTATTTTTGTGCAACAGTGAGAAAAAAATGCAGTCCAATAAATAAAGAAAATAGTGACAAGATTATTGGTTATGGTTGATAGATTGTTTTCCCCCTTTTAATTTACAGGATTATGAAATATTTAGGAAAACTGGTGATTCTGGGGACAGGCATTTGAAGATGAGATTTCTAGATTTCAACCCCTAGTCTGTAAGATCAGTAGGAAAAGTCCAATGTGTTCACCTTCCCATCAAGCAAAGCATCAATAAAAAAGCTAACCTTCATGAATTTCAGATCACTCATGGCAACTAAAGTACAAAAGATGCAATATTCCTCAGAAACGTCTGGATTTCTGCTGTGGAGGGTATCCCGTCACCCCCATTCCATTATCTTTCCTTCTCAACTGTATTGGAAAATAAAATATAAAAAAATCAGCATGAATCGAGAGAAAGAAATACTCTAAAGGTCAAAACAATCTAGACTCATCACAAAATACCTGCTGTTGGTGATGGGCCTGTGCTACACCACGCTGCATTGGCATGCTGGTAGGATTCATTGCACCACCCATCCCTGCCTGAGATGCAAGATTATAAGCAGTCATGCCTTGTGGCTGCATTCTTTGCATGTTAAGCATCGGCCTCGGCACAGATCTGTTCATCCCTCCATGAGCAGCTGACAAGTTTCCAGATACTGCATTTCCAGACAATACCTGGTCCAGATAATTGTATGATGAGCATGCACACGTACCATAGAGAATAAAGATTAAGATGCTAAACTTCCTACATTTACTATGTAGGAAATCACTCAAAAATGAATCTGTTCTATGGGATGCAATATAAAGCAGATCAATAGTTGAAGAAACTCTAAGGTAAATTAATTCAGTCCTCTCAATAGCAATTAAAGGGAAGAAAGAGAACGTGATACAATTATGAATTATTCATATTGTAAATATCAAAAAGGGCGTGAAGGAGATTCCAGGTTCTGACTGACGGACCTTGAACTAAACTAAAAGCACTCCCTCAACAGTATCATCAAAGATTATGCTGCTTCCAAAACTAAATGTGCAGACGATTTCGACTCAGTAAACAATAGTTATCTACTAACAGGCAGAAAAAATATCGTAATTTCCTGTTCTACATCCAACATGAAACGCAAATCAAAATTCATGTAAATTATAATGTTTTCAAGAATATATTATTTTAAAGTCTACATATAACACCCCTAAAACCGTAGGCTACAAAATTGAGTAGCGTTCAATTATGTTTCTTTATTCTGGCCTTCACTACCATTTATAAAATTCCAACTAGGTTTTTGTAAAAACCATGGTTAGCACTTCATTTAAACAGCTGCAGCTTTGGAACAGAAGAGTACTCATTCAGTTGTCAAACCACGACACATACCGATTGTGAAGGTTGAATGCTAGTTGTCCCTTCAAAATTTGTGGTTGTGTCTACTGGACGAGTAGGATAATTCACTACTTTCTCTCCTTGGGTAGGTACCAAAGCACTGATCATTGATAACATACCTGGTCAATATAAGAAATATGGGCGCACTATATGCTTACAACAGCATCTAGTATCTCCATTACAGTGTTTTCTTTTTCAAACTTTTAGGTGGCATTCATGAAAAGGTGGTCAAATATATAGACTCAAAATGGTTGGCATATCATAAGGGAAAAGGTCCACAGCAAACAGGGGAAGTAAAAGTTAATGAAGAAGAAAACCTTACTTGCGTCCTGGTAGAGGTTCAATACGAAAATACCTGAGAGAAAAAGTATGAATCTTTTTAGAAAGTAGTAACTTTTGGGTATGACAATTTTTATTTAAGAGTATCCAAATTGCAAATACTGTATTAATTAGTTTGTTAAAATAATCATTCAGAGTTGTTACACCAGACTTTGATAGTTGATTTTATGTTCTAAGAAATAATTCATGTCTTTGTGGTACCTATTAGAAGCCCCAAGATACCACTTGTTATTAAGATCCAAGCCAATACCAGTTTGCATGCTTCTTTTTTACTTTTCATTAACTGAGCATTTGAAACCAGTGTCTAAAATGATCATTATTAAGTCTAAGCTTCTATTAAACCATTATGATAACTCACAAACACAGATAAAGGGTTTACAACCGTGAAAGATAGGTATCAATAAATTATCAAAGAGGGTGAGGGAAAGGGAATGATAAGCATAATATGAGAGATATAGGAGACAAGAAGCTTTACTCATGCTCTAATGCTTGTGCAGCTGTTATACGCTTTCGAGGATCATATCTGCACACACAGTTGTTTGGGGGAATAAACAGAATCAATTTATCTTTCTTATGGAAAAAGTAATGAATGATATCCAGCAAAACCTTACAGATTACACGCCACTGTAACTAATTACAACAGGAACATATTAAAAGTTATAATTTCAACACTTTTTAAGTCAAGCGACTGTAAATTTCAAAAGTTATCAAAACTTTAGCATGTATGATGAACATGAAGAGATCGTTTCATCCAACAGTTGGTTTTAACGAAAACAAAGCAGATGAAAAATTATTGTGTCAGAAGCTCCAACCTTCCCGGATCTTGGAAAGAAAAAATAGTACAAAACATTAGCCCAGCACCAGGACAAGAAAGGCAACCAATAGTAAAAAATGCCGCTTAAATTTGTAGATCCAAATTGACGCCTTTTACCTGCTTTTCGTAATTCATACACAAACTAGCTTGAAATATTTGAATTTACTTGTTACTTTCGGTTTACAACTTGTGAACAGAAAAAGCATGTCCATTGTACATATTAAGCTTGAAACAAATTCACCACTGATTGACCCATGAGGAAAGCATGTCCGTTATACATGTTTAGTTGCTAACAGTTCTTCAAATAATTTATTAAAGTACTAGTCATCTCAATGAAAAAACCAACTCCAAGTGACCAGATAAACATTGAAAATATGGGAATTAAAATGATCGATCAACCTCACATATATATATATAGCTAGTCAGTGAAATCCCAAGAAAAAGAATGTTCCAATAGTACCCTTCTAATTGTCATTTGACCTGTTATTTGCATGATAGTAAAGATAATCCCATCAAGGTCTTAAAATACTTTCTATATTGTTGTACGCAGAAGGAAGTAAGTGATGTTGACACTTTTCGAAGAGAGATAACCTTTCTCTGAACCATGGATGTAAAGATAGGGACTATGAAACCTTACTATAGTCCACAGGAATTATTCATTTTTTGCCCCTAATTATGTTGTTCTCATATCTAATCCTTGAATCTTCAATTATCATCATATATCTACACTTTTATGGTCAAGACTCAAGAGACCATGTCTGTTCAAAGATTCCATACGTTGATACTGTATTAGCAATTAATAGGGCACTCACTTCATGAATCTTATTAAAACAATTCAGGACGTATCCTCACTCTAAATTTGTAAGCATACGTTTGTACTTTGTAATTAGGATTCTAAACCTTTAAAAAAATTAGAAAAAAAAAATGGTCAAATGAGAATTAGAATTTTTTGGATATAGTTAGCTTTGCAAGTGTTGTATTTCACTCTCCCTGTGCTAAACAATAACAAAATGAGATTCTTGTAAATTTAAAAGGCACCACTTACTCAAGCATCTTAGATAGGAGGTCATATGCAGGACTTTTTGGCGAGAGGTTAACTACACTATACAATGCAGTATTATCACTGTCAAAACCATACAGCAGGAAAAAAGAACTGGTTAGTTTGATCAAGGGAAGAACGAAAAAAAAAATGAAGCCAAACATGGGAGATACAAGAGAATGACAAATTAGACAAAAATAATTCCTTCAGATTCCTATCACAAGATTTATATTCTTTTTTATGTCACACTAAACAAGTTTTGTATGCATTAAATATGAGAAAGCTTACTATTTATGGTCTTGAATATGTTGTATATCTTGTTGCCATTGTGGAAGGTTCGCAAGTGCTGGCCACTTTTCTAGTGTAGGATGACCTGATGTGGTAACCGTGAACTGTAAGGTAGCTCCATGGAACATACAAAAGATAAATGGCCTATAAGGTAAAACAAATTACCCAAGACCTTGAATATCTTGTCAAGTTGATCAAGCTGCACAACTGAATGCTATTATTAGAAGATATGATAGGATCACGAAACTTAAAACAGTACTAGTAATAAAAGTGGTCAAATATATAAAAACAGTTGAGGATAAAAGTTGTGAATGAAAATACAAACACCGTTTCACAACCTGAAACGGGTTTGGTGTGGCTTTGACTTCTGCGCCTTGAAATAACGGCTTCAAAGTCAAAAGCTCAGCAAAGATGCATCCAACAGCCCACATATCTAAATTATTTATTAAGAAAACATTGTTTTTTAAAATTAATCTGCTCATATAATTCAATATACCAGAGAGCTACCATTACATCATCACAAGAAAATATAAATGAAAAAAAAAACCAAACAGGCAGGCCTACAGAAACTATTCAGCATAATCATACCTATGAATGCATGCTCATGATTTTAATCACATGTTAACCATATGGGCTTAATACAAATAGAGTAAATAACTTGGTGTAGGAGGATACCAACAGCACTTGTATAGTGCTTAGCCCCAAGGAGCAATTCCGGTGCACGGTACCAAATGGTTACCACAACCTGCAAGTAATACAGCTAACTTATTACAGTCATAATTACTTTTTCAATGCAAGTGGATAATAGCAATAAATTAGGGGTACAAAAAGGTTTTATTACTCAAAACAATAAGAAAAGGGCATTGACCAAGTATACTAGCTGCAACATGAAAACACAGATAAAAATACTTACAAGATTTAACAAACCAATAATGGAAAAAAAATGAGAAACAAATTACAGCAAAATATATAAAAAAAGATCTCCAAACAGATCATCTTCAATTCAACCACTGAAGGCTCAGTGACTTTGAAAATCCTTGCAATTCACCCCACTCTCAGGTGCATCACTCTGTCACCAACAATACTTTAAACGGCAAGGTGTAAGCCTTGTGGCATTGAAGTGTAAGCTTTCCGAAAGAAACATTTTAATTAAAAAAAATTATTAATTACAAAAATAAAATCTGCAAGTATGTATGTATAAGTTTTATATATGATGTAGATACCCTCACTGTATTCTACTGTTACGCTTTTGTTCAAGTCCTCTCATATTAAGAGTCTAATTTATTTAAAATTACAAGATTAGGCATCTTCCATTATAATATTAGTAGTTGTTCTACATTGATATTTACTTGTTCTACAGTGGTCACTAATATAATCATATTGAGACCACCCAATTATTGCCCCAACCAAAGAAGACTTTAATGGAAGCTAAAATCTCAGTAACCACTTTATCCCATATAAAGAATGCACACAGGATATACTTCCACAGCAAGTGAATGCCAACCTTTAGCGAATTTCATTTGGATTAGAAATTGCTTTCCTTCTGGAAGTTATGGTTATTGTGAATATATGAATGCATTAGTGCCAATGGTAACAAACAGGAGTATTTCTTACACTAAAACAAAAAGAAAAGGAAAAATGAAGAAAAGGAAAATCGAAAAGGAATAAATAACCCACTAAAAACCCAAAGTTTAATACAGTCAGGGAATCTAGAAACCATAATTCACAATACTCCAGAAGTTGACAATACTAGTTATGTGACACCGAGACTTGAAGACAACGGGAATAGAACCATAGAATGATAGACTTAAAAATACATCTATAAATCACAATAACTTTCTGAAAAATACAAGAATCTCAATCATGCAGTGCGAGTCACTTGAATGGACTAATTTACTAAACTTTGAACTTAGCTCCTGTATCGACATAGTTGTTTCGTATATCTTATGCATATCACTATTGCTTAAGGAGACGGATTCCCATTTTTATTAAAAATGGAGACCTACTATGGGTGCCACTTTGCATTCTTTTACAACAATGTGAACCATCTATTTTTCAAATCTCCATTCATAGATCATCCTTTTGAATTGGACCCCGCAAGTAGTTCCCTTTTTTCCCCCAAAAAATGAGGATCCCTCACCTTAAGTAACCCATATGCATACATATGAAGTTGAGAACACCACATACGCTCATAGAAAGATGGCATCTAAAGAACAAAATGATACAAACATGTCTCCATACCCCATTTTCAGACAACGACTTTAAGGGAGCCTGATATATCCTTGCAAGTCCAAAATCCGCAATTTTCACAATTCCTTGCTCCTCTCCGTCGCCCATAACCTATGAGCAAAAAATGGGTAAATGTAGCAGAAATTTAATCTCGTTCACACTTTGCAAGCAACACAAAGTCAAACAAAGTTGCATCAGGAAGAGTGAAAAGGTTATACAAATCATACCAAGATATTAGATGGCTTTAAATCACGATGAATGATCCAGTTACTGCAAGGAAGGTTCCGCATAAGTAGTCAAACGATAATGTAGATACAGCAACAGAACAAAACATCAGCAGCGCAATGTCAAACAAATAAAACCATACCTATGGAGATAATTGAGTCCATTAAGCAGCTGCCAGAGCAATGTCTTAATAGTGTAATAATTGATTGCGTGATTAACTTTGTCTCTATGATGTCTAATGATTTCCTGTGAAGCAAATGTACGCAACCCACCACATATTCCTTCCATCAGCGGAACTCGAAATCCCATTTCAATTGAAAGAAAGAAGAAAAGGGAAAACATCACATACTCACATAAAGGTCATGTTCTGCGTAATCGAAAGCCAGGTAGAGGGACATGTCTGTGTGGTTGATATGAACATTCACGAGCTTCACCACATTCTCGTGCGATATTTCCCGCAGCAACTGAACCACCCAAAAACAGTTTTATATATATATATATATATTTTAAGATTTTATCCAAGCCCAAAAGGCAAATTCTTCATTTTTCTTAATTTTTGAACAAAATTCCCAAACGAAATTTCGAAGGATAGCGTCTGTAATGCTTAAAATAAATAAATGGGAAAAAAAAGGATGAAGAAGACCATGATTTCACGGATGGCGGTGGGGGAGACGCCATCACCGTCCTTGGACTGCTTGAATTTCTTGATGGCGATGGATTTTCCGCGGTTGGAAGGAGGAGACTTGGTCCTTGCAAGAAACACCAGGCCGTAGGTGCCTTCCCCGATCTTCCCTATCAGATCGTACTGTTGCAGCCACTCCGGCTTGTTACCATGACCACCGCCGTGGTTGTGGCCGTGGCTGTGGTTGTTGTTGTTATGGCCTCTATTGCCGCTCGCGCTACCGTCACCCATGCTGGGCTGGGCTGGGCTTCCACCGCCACTCCTCCACCTGTATCTGTATGTGTAGTAATTGGGAAGACAGGCAAATATCTCCCGTTGCTCTCTGCTCTCTAATAGAAATATGGGTGACCACATGTTTTTATGTAAATAGTGGGTAATTTTATTTTTTAAGTTATTAATGTTGCAGTTCTATTAGATTATGAATGTAATTGTATAAATTCTAATAGATCTAGGAATATCTCTTTATATTCCTATTAGGAGTTGATTAGTTATTAAGAGTTGTAACCCTAAAAGGATAAGGAATTAACTTACTCTGCTACTATAAATAAAGACAAAATGGGATGGAATAGAACATACATCATAATTACACATCTCTCTCTTCTCTCTACTATTGCTGCACCCCTCTCTCTATGGCCTCTATAATCATTCAGTAAATTATGCTTACAACATGTTATCAGCACACTTTTGACATTGCACTAAAGAGAGTTCGATCTTCAATCAAGGTAATATTACGCTTTAATCATTCTTTTTATGATTAATTTATTATTTTATTGAATTGATCTACATGTTATTGATTCAATTTAATTTTTCTTTATTGAATGTAATATAACGCAATGGAGATGAAATTCCGGCTTTCTGAGAATGATCTTCAACAAATTCAAGGGCTTTTGTTGTTTTCTGCCAATCAGGTACTCTTAAAATAAAGGAAGATATTTGAAACGATCATGAAGCATGAAAACATTCCCCATGATGCATGAACCCTACATTTATATTTACTTTCTTATATATATATTGTATATGTTTTATAGATTTGTCAATATATATACGTTTCATGCATTACGCGATTTTTGCTATTTGGAATTTGTGAGTCAAAGAATCAAAAGAAATTAGAAGCAATTTAGGGCTTGCCAACCCCTAATTATGTCGAAAAAATAAAAAAAATACTATATGGCACCACCATCACACCTCCACCATGGCACCACCATAACAGTAGCCCTCTTAGCCTTGCTGCAACCACATGGACACCCCCCAGGTCTTCGCCCTGGTTGACCTGCATAGGCTCGAAGCCCAACCTTCTCCCTAAGGAAGCCCGTAGACTTCCTGGGCCGTCCTTGTGATCTTGGCCCAATTTGCCAACAAGCTTTGTGCTTGCTAGGCTTTGCATCTGCCATGGCTCGTGATTCTATATGCCAACCCATGTGGCTGGGCTTGTTCCACGACCTAACGAACACAACCCCGGCTCTGGTTGGGCCTCCTGTAAGCCAACCCGCAAGCTAGCCTCAACTGGGCTTGCTCTCACGTCATGGTCTTGAACCACATATGCCAACAGCTTGTTGTTGGGCTTAAAAACCCTCGACCATTGGCCTGTAGCCACATGTGGGTTGCCTTTTGCAACTAACCCGAGCCCAAAATGCCTTGAGGGCTTTGCCCTACTCACGACACCCAAGCCCAAACCCTTTTGGGCTACACTTTTTCAACCCAATGCTAATTTTTGGCATTCTAAATAATTTTAACCCGAATGTTACAATTATTTTTGCTTCTATGATGAACCCCAAATGGTCCCGATCTATTGAATTAATTAATAGTGACCAGCAGTCCATTAATCTAATAATTAATCCAAAATTATGGGCCTGGAGCCCATTTTTGGACATTAACGATTCAATAATTTATTTCTCTTCTATGAACCGTTGACTCACTTTTTTAGTCCCGAAGCGCTCACACTTGACTTCCTAAATTAACTCAAATCCACTACACTTAAATCAGCGTATTATATTACGTGGTCTTGTAGGAACCTCTCTTTTATGAACTAAATGTTCATAAACTAAAATTGAACTTGTAATTTCAAATTTAGTGCCTTTGAAACCTGAAGTTTTCATAAAACAATACACCCATGAAAACCCAAAGTTTTTCATGAAAACCATGTGTGACGACCCGTCACTAATTTTTCATTTTTATAAATTTTAAAAGAGTGATTTTATGAAAATACCCTAGAGGCAAGGATTGTGACTTTCGTTGATCGTCGAGAGACATAGGACTCATTCTTTTAGCGTATTTGGGTATTACTCGACTTGAATGCGTGGGCATAAGCGGATTTGAATTTGGGGCAAAAACAGGGATATTACAAAATTCGAAATGTAAGGGTATTTTGGTAAGTTCACAAATGGAGATATTTCTCCACTTTGGACCACCACATGACTGACACATAGCACCCCATTTCTGGTGCCTTTTTTCTTTTCCCTCCCGTGATCTCTCTTTTGAGAACTCTCTCATCTCTCATCTCTTATCCCTATCAGCTTTCCCTCTCCGCAAGTTCAACCAACATCAACCACCACCCACTGCCGTCTCCGGCGAGCTTTGCCATACCACCACCATAACTCTCTATCTCAGACACTCTCCTTCACTCTTAGGCTCTCTTTCTCGAGCTCTCTTAATGCACTCACTTCATTAAGGCAGTGACCTAACCAACGTGACCACCATCATCATTTCATGGTGGAAAAATGGTACAGCCACCATGGCTCTCGCGATGGACCACCATCACCACCCTCACTTGCCATTTTTCAAGGCAACTTCCCACCGTTCACAACCAAGGTAATCTTAGAACCCCCAACCTCGAGTCTTTCTTATTTTGATCCCCTGGTGATGTTTCTAATCTTAAATATGAGGTTTGACGGTGTTTTAATGCAGATCGCAACTCGGGGAAGGATTTTCCCCAGATTTGTGGAAGAAATGAACTGTGTCCGTTGAGCCACTTTCATATCACTTTTTCGGCCGACTCTGACTGTGTTTTGACCTTAAGATGGTAAGATACTGTTCTCCTCATTATGAACTTCAAATACATAGGTAGAACACTAATATGGTTAGGTAGCGACCTAGAAATTAGCTTTGAAAGTTGGGATGAAATTTCCCAAAATCTGGAAAACTTGGACCTGTGGCCATTTGGCCATTTTCAGGCCATTTCCCCTACCAACTCTAGCCACTATTCGACTTCAAACTGGTACAAACATGTTCTCCACATTTCTAGCTTCTAGTTGGCTTTTGAATCATCGAATTTGGTTAAGAATCGAGCTTATTTTAACCTCTGAAAGTTGAGGGAAAAATCTGCAAAATCGTAGTGACGGCGCGTGGGCGCGTGGCTACCTGTGCAGCCACCATGTTGTGGTGCCAAGCATCAACATTGTATTACCGAATTTCAAGCATAACGAAAAGGAGATGCCCACAAATTGTGCTGGAATTGTTGATGTGCACGACAATGCTTCTTTGGTGCTGAAATGGGTGCTGTTTTGCATGCCAAGGGATGTGTGATGAATGATGAAGAGTTGCATGTGCTTAATGATTAAAGGGTGAGGGGATGCAGCTGCAATAATGCAGTGGGAAGGCTGGAAGTTTGAATGGGGAATGCACGGCACAAGGGAGAATGGGAGAGTGTGGTTGAATGATGAAGTTTTTAATGGGAGTGACAGCTAGGGAAAGTGTGCAGCTGCAATATGTAAAAGAATGACTAAATAATGTATGTAGGGTGCAGCTAGGTTGCTTGGTGATGAATGCATGTGAGTTAAAGAGTGAAATGTGGCTGCAATGATGAAAAGGGAATGCTGGAAATGCATGTGAAGGCCACGGCAAGGGTGTTTTCTTGCTGGAAATGCATGTGAATGCATGGCATTTGAAGTGATTGTTGTTGGAAATGAATGTGAAGGCATGTGAGTGGCATCTAGGGTGAATGATGATGAATGCATGTGGATTAAAGAGGGAGAATGTGGTGCAATGATGAAGTGAAATGCTGAAAATCTAAGGGGAAGGCACGGCAAAGAAGTTTCAGGATGCATGTGTGTGTGAATGGTGGTTTTGCATGGCTTTGATGGATTGTTTGATTGGGCTAGGCCCTTTGTTTTATGTCCAAAGTGCATACAAGGCCTTCAAATTCGTCCAACACTTTGGCTCCAAGCATAAGCTTTCCATTCTAAGCCCAATTTTGCTCCAAAATGCTCCGACATGCACCTTTTTGCCTCCTTAGCCATATTAACCTAGAAACACACAAAAATGGCATAAAGGACTAAAATAACTAAAGAAACACAACGTAAATGCACGAGAACAAGCCAATTAAGTTGCATAAATATGCTCCTATCAAATTCCCCCACACTTAGCTTTTGCTAGTCCTCGAGCAAAACAGAAAAACAAAACAAAACCTAAACCTTCCAACAATAGTCTCAGGGATTTTCAATGCACATGACATGTTAAAAATCATTATTCCCACAGATTTTAGTCATCTTCACACTTAAGTACATTCTTAATCATAGTCACCACACACTAGTTCACAATTAAGCACTTAAAACGATGTTTTGAATGTAGTAACATGCCTTAGAGAATTTGCTCAATTCCTTACAAGATATGCACTCAATTTTCACTCAGATTTTCTAACTACATACCCTAATCTAGTCATATGTGAGAAGATTGATGTAAACATGAAAACGAACACTCACATATATGTATCACAAAGAAAGCAATTTCTGGAGTTAATAAGCATGTTTAGATATGATCTCATGAATGGAATGCTACTACTTAGACGCGAGAACCAGTGACACCATATGCTCATACCAAGTTCAAACTCCACAAATTGAAACACATAACACTCAAGATTGAAGTCACGGGTTGTAATGGGGCTTGGGGCGTGTGGATAACAAAGAAGGGATATGGAAAACAAAGGTTCTTAAAGAAATAGTGAGCAAAGCACTTGAATCAACTTAGAATTCACTTTTGAATGAAAACTCAACTTTTGAACAAAAAGGGAGAATTTAGACAATTTAGGGCCAGAATTGGTGTTTTGGACCCTTTCTTCAATCACTCATTCTTTCATTTTTTTCAAGCTCTTTTTTTCTTTCTTTCTTTTCTGTTTTTTTTTTTCTTTTCTTTTGAATCTCAAAATATACATAAACACTTAAGAACAAGCATTCCTTCCCCCACACTCATTTTCTTGCATAATGTAACTCAAAAGGAACTCATTTAAGTCATGCTCACTATATTTTAAGAACAAGGGTGTGGACTGTCCTAAACTAGGCTAGGTGAGGATAATGTGGGTTAACAAAGAATAAAGGCTTAACAAGGCTCAACGGGGTTAACTTAAACAAATAATGAAGTAGGATACACGGCAATTTGGCTTTGGTGGTGGTCACTACACAACTTCTTCTTGAATATGTGT